GTGCTGAGACTGAAAAAAGACAGAAGACAAGTTTCCAGCCCTCTTCTTAAGTTGTAGCAGTACTGGAAAAAAATCCCTTCCTTCTTTCACTCCATGGATACTTGCCATAGATCCCCACAGGTGTATGAGAGTTTCCATTTTGTGTCAGGAGTATCTTGTAAAAAGAGTATTTGAAAAATGCAAAAGAAACTGGGTAATATATTCTTTTGTGACCATCCTGAGGATATCTGAGACTAAGGTAACTCAAGCTAACCTCCTTAGCTCTGAGAATCTATATTGCATCCCCAGACACTTGGCATACAACATATATTTACTTAGGAGTAACATGCATGCAAAAAACTTTCACCTCACCACCACCAGCTGTGAAGAAAATTCATTAATAAGCAGTTTTGGAACAAAGAGGAGAAAAGCCCATGAAGTACTATTGCAGAGGAAGGATGCAACAATTCAGTATTTTCAAGAATGTGAAGAAAAAATATCATTCTATTGCAGAATAGATATTGCTCTAAAAAATTAACCAGACTAACTGAAGTTCTGCAAACTTTAAGTGAGATAATTTACTACGTGCTGTTATAAGCACAACTGTGAAACACAGACAAGCATGATCATCTAATTCTTCCACAATTTATTAATTTCCTTTGGAAATGATGCTAAAATAAGGAATGTAATTTAAGCATGCTGACAGCAAACTATTTACACAAGATTGGAACATAAATAGCTCTAATTCCCGCACTAACTTAAATTCACCCGTTTCCAATTTAATTTTCATATTAAGAAAATAGTGGGGAGAATTGTTTCAACTGTCTTGATTTTGTAACATAAAAACTAAATGCCTCAAATGAAAATTGGATAGCCAGAGTCAGACACTGTCAGATGAAAATATTTACTTATCATTGCTTCAGTTTACTTCCTGCATTTCATAACACTTTTTTCTTTTTTAAATCAGATTCTATTTCAAAATTATACCATGCCCTTGTCTCACAGTCTTGTTATAAAGAATGCCTTAGAAGGAAAAACTGCATAATTGAAATTTAAATTAATAAGGTTAAAAACTGAAACTTAAAAAACAACTAAGCTGAGAAACACTGAAAACCAGCCAAAAACAGTTATAAAAGTTCTAGATGGTGGAAGAAAGCTCTGCTTTAATTGGCACTCTGCACTACTTCATCCAAAGCACTATAAAACATGGAAACAACCATCCCAGCAAGTAAAACTGTGAATACTTAATTTTTAATTTTGTTTGTTTCAGCATTTAGACTGTTTCAGGAAACAGATATTAGACCAAAGCCTCACAAGATATCAGCAGATGAAAGATAAATTGACACTTGGGCAACTATTTACCTTGAAAATTGTCAGCCAATTTTTGGGTCAAATTTAGAGTAGCTGAATTACTGCGGCATGACAAAGCCGTCAGATTGTGGCAGGAATGGAATGAAGCTGCCACCACAAGAGCCAGCCACTCCCATTCACTGCCAGCTGTGTAAGTCAGCTACAGGCCTGGCTCTAAGGACAATGGCAGCAGGAGATGAGTCCTTAAGCAGCTGGGTACACTCCCGCAGAAGAGGAGCTGGGAAGAAAGATGTAGAAATGAAGACCTCAGTTCTGGAGTGACACTTCAGTCAACTCTTGAAAGGAATCCCTTTGACTTGATTCCAGCTGTAGACCACCTGGAAAACTGTTTGTAGGATAGGGTTTTTTCTATTGAAATAAATGAATCTTCCAGGTGAGTGTGTCTGAGTTGATAAGCAGTAAAGTCCATTCTCAAGCCAATGCTACTTTCTTTCAGGTCATTTGCTAGTGTCTTCAGGTGCTACTGCAATGGTCAAAAGAAGTATATTAAAAAAAAAAAATTATCCAGCATCCTGTAACAAGTTATGCAACCTATATAAGACCTGGTAAAATTGCCAATTTTTTTCCAGGAAACAACCAATCCCAAAGTGATTCAGTACATTAATAAATTAGCTGAGACACTATTACAATTAGAATTTGATTAACATCATTAAGTGTCCTTCAGCTGGACAATGGCTTGGGGGCAGGAGGAAAATCCAGTAACTTAAAAATTCTTCCAAGCTCACAAAACTTACAGGATCAGAAACATGAAGGCCAAGTTGGTACATTTCAGCTCCTGATAGTTTTCCAAAATAAACACTACTTACATGAACTGTTTGAAGAAGAAATCTATAGAAACATGCTAATAAAAAACTCCACCTTTCTTGACCAGGCAAATCACTAAAGAGCAATGCGAACTGTGCATGTAATGACTATTTGTCATACACAACGCAGTATTTTATTACAAACTGCCAACAAAAGAAGTACATTTCTAGAGAGCTTTCTCAGGTTAATTTCCTCTCAAGACCAGAAGAGTGAAGCCAAAACACAGGTGAGAAAGGCATCTCCCTGCAGTGCTTAATATACAGATACCATTCGAGAGAGCTTTTTGGAAGAAAAGCAATGCTGAAGAGTCCCGGCTGTGACTAACCAATACCCTTCCCCTGGTCACCACAACACTAAGCACCATGAGGAATATGAGCTCTAATCAACATCCTAAGAAAAACAAGCTTGGCCAAGACTTTCCAGAATAAATTCACTGCAATGTGGGTCTATGCATAGAATGGACATTTTGGTAGAAACGTAATTACTGGACATCTTTTGAAGACAACTGTATATTTACTAGACAAAACTATTAGTTTCAATGGTTTTCCATTATGTAAACTCAATGTAATACCTAGGTAAAGACATTTTTCTCCCTCACACACAAGCACAGGAAAGATGTCCTCTGCTGCCTACCTGGGGAGTGAGCCTTGGAAGAACACCTTTCACACAATGGGCCGTAACAATGAAAATCTAAAACCTAACTGCTTTCACAGCCACACTGCTAACAGAACAAAGTACATTATTTGGACTTCAGATAACTACCAGCCATCTCTGACACAAAACTAGGAATATGCTCTTTTTATTTTTACCTCAGGTAGACAAATTTTCTTAAATGAAAACAGAAAATACAGCCTGACTCTACTTGGTATGAAAGGAGTGCATTATCCACCTTGAGGAAGAAAATACAGGGAAACCCTTCTTATCTTGCTTCAAAGCTCATTGGCAGTGGACAAAAAAAAGGAATCAAGTAGCTTCACACCCTTTAACTTCTCTTATTCTGCTGTCTCTTCCACTTACCTTCTTCTTTTGGTTTAAAATTAAACTGCTTTTCCTTATTTGCAACACAACAATATATTTTTGACTGAAAAAAGCCCCCTATGATTTCATAATCTGCTTCTAATTGCATATTTATTCTCCAAATTCAAGAAAGGCTGTGAGGAGTTATAAAAAAGAAGGGGAGGAACACCTCTGAAAAAGATTCTCTCAGGCAAAATACCAGATGCATATGGAAAAGACACTGAAAGTCAATCAAGATAATTCAGTTTGATTCTGTCAGAAGCAGTGTCACACTAATCATTACGGTGGAAAAGGGAGCTTCTTCTAACATAAAGGAAGGGCCAATTACATTCTCCCCAAATCTAGGGAATGGCAGTTTTAATACATTCCAATCCATTTATTATTCCTAGACAAGAAAAATGTTACTATAAATCTCCATCTTATCTTTAATATAACCAGGTGTTTATAGCTATGCACTTCAGGCAAGAGTTTCTGCTATTCATCCAGTACTTCTGCCTATTTAATCACATTTCATATATCCCATTTAGTCTCTTTACTTGATGTTAAGTTCATAATACAGAAGTAAATTCCAAAACAAAATTAACTAAAAACATCCCAGCACAGTCAGTATTTTCAGTTCAAATTTTAGATTTCAAATGGGAAAGCAAGCTTCTTGACATAGAATACAGCAGTATCAGTAACTTATAGGTATTATAACCAGTAGCCTTTTGAAACAAAATTCTGCAGGTCTTCTAAGCATGTTTCACTTAACATTGCATTCTTCTCAGAAGCTAAAACAGACATACAAAACCATGCATGCTTCACTTAAATATTTATGCTTCAGTATCTTGATGAACCAGAGAGCTGAATCACATGATTATACTAAAACAGTGATTCCCAAGCTACTTTGTGCAATGGTTTCCCCCCCAAATGACCTCTACTGCTCACCCTGCCTCTCATATCTAGCCTGGGCACAACTCAATAATGTGTTTAAATGGCTTCTGGTATAGCAAAACCTCCTGGTCCACAAGCATCTCTTATTGTTTTTGTTTAGCTAGTTATGCCCCAAAATTTGGAATGGACTGTATCAAATTTATCAAAAATAAACAGGCACGTTTTTCGTCTCACATTAAGAAACACCTATTTTAAGAAAGCAATATTTCTTCTCCACCATGATAAAACACTGTGACACTCATAAGGATTGTACTATAAAACATAATACAAGTAAGCAGTACTGAAAATTCACACATATTCTTAAGCACAGCCTCTATTTTGATATATGCATGCTTGTTTCACTGACCCTTACACAAGTTTCCTACATCATAGTAGCACTGATAGTAAATCAGTAGGAAATTAATTTAACGAAAGAGCAGATGAATAACAGCACTTCAGGAGGTCTGAAAATTTTAAGAGGAAAAGAAATTGCATAAACAGAAATATTTGGATTTTCCACAGAAATGTCATCTATTCAGGACTAGAAAGAATGGGTATGTTAATGATACTGATGCCTTAGAAGAATGGCAGCTGGCAGACAGATTTCCCCCTTTTCAATTTAGTATACAGATCTTCTCCAGGGTAAGACCTTTAAGTACAAACACTGAAGTGCTGTTAACTAATGTAACTATTTGGGAGTTACATGAGCTCATACTAAAGGGAGTGAGGTAGGACTATGTTCTACAATTACAGTTTCTAATTGAACAGCAGTTTCAAATAAAATCCATCGTCACCATGTTGAACCCACTGTATTTGTAGGCTTCAATAGCAAGACAATGATGTTGTGATTATTGCAATTTAAACCAACAACATGCAGTAATAAAAACCAATCTTTTGTAAAAGAGTAAAATAAATACCTGCAGGACTGCCAGCATTTTCTCCTTGATGCAGCTGAATACCAGTAGAATCTATAGAGTTTACTGTAACTGTCTGTAGATTTGGCAATTGAGCAGTGCTTAGACTAACTGGAGTTGATGTCAACGCACCACCTGCTGCAACTTGACCAAGAGTGAGAGTCTGCACAGGGGTCAGAGTTATTTGTTGACCAGGTGCATTCTGAATTTGCAAGTTCTGCAAGTTCTGAACTCCTTGCACTTGAAATGTCTGCCAGGTTATCTGCCCAGAAGGGGTCACTGTTTGTGCCTGAATTAAGAAAGTTCCAGGATTCAGCTGCAGTTGAAGATTTTGAAGAGCTTGTTGAGATATACTTTGACTTGCTTGAACACCGTGGATTGTCTGTTGCGCAATACCTTGTACGATCTGGGCTTGACTGGTTGGCTGCTGCGACTCTTGTAGCTGTATGTGTTGTACAATTGGCTGTGCTGTGGAGACCTGAATATTCTGAGCCTGCGTGTCATCAGAGACTGATGTCTGGATGTAATTTCCCTGAAGATCAGAACCATGAACTTGGCCACTAGTTGTGGTCAAGTCGTTTGCATTTTGTTCCAATATACTTGAACTGTCTATGGTAACGGGCAATTGTGATGAAGATGACGTTGGCACAAATAAGTCATTATCAGTGGCAGTTTCTGTAATTTCAGGAGAAACCTGCTCACCAGTCCTCTCAGAAGTATCTGAACTATCCATGGCCTGTCCGGTATTTATCAAGTGCCCATCTGCATTAATGCCTGCTGTCATGGTTTGAGAACCACTGCCAAGTCCCAGAGAATCTAGATCAACACTATTAATGGGTACAAAAGTAATATTCCCTGGCAGTCCAAGAGGGACGTTAGCAACCACTTGTGCTTGGCCAGGGTAAGACGAACCACCAATTGCAACTCCCTGAACCTGGACTTGACCAGACTGACCAGATAAGATATTCTGAATATTAGCTGAAGATGTTCCAGAGGCAATGATGGTTTGATTCGAGCCAGGAATGATCTGAATTTGACCAGTTTCTTGATTTATACTGCTATTATCAGAAGAGGCTGCAAAGCCAAGTTGAACCTGCTGACCATCCGCTGTCTGGATCTGGGGTATTACTTGGTATTGTACGTTAGACACTGTACCATTCGACGAATCTGATCCTGGTGCAACAGAAAAGATTTGTTGATTTTGCAAACTCTGAATAGGAAGGACATACTGCCCACTTGAAGTTACTGTGGCAGCACCTGGAATCTGTACTATATTACCAGCTTCATCCTTTATAGTGGTAGGAGCTGCAGACAAGACCTCCCATCTGTTTGGAGCTCCAGCTAATTGCACAGAAGCCAAATCCCCTGTCTGAATAAAAAGAAAAAAGAAAACAAAAAATTAAAACAAATGTTGTACAGACTATGTGTTAGACCAGTCATGCAATTCAGCATCAGATATTGATAGACTACTGGAAAACATGCAGTACAGCTCATATGACCATCAGCAATTGGATCAAAACTATGAAACACAGATTTTATAAGGATCTCTTGCCTAAGTCAGGGTAGCCAGCCTGCGGGTCATGAGCCGCACGCTGCTCGCGAACATGTCAAATGCAGCTCCTATGTCACGGCTATGTCAGGTGACAGCAGCAGGGTTATTCTGGTGGCAGGGCTGCTGGGTAATCCAAACCCCTGGCTGCGGGAAGGAGAGAGCTGGCAGGGGCTGCTGGAGTTCTCATCACCAACTTACCCTGAGACCCAGAAACACTCTGTGCCCAGCCAGGCACCTATTGCACACAGGTGGAGGAACCGCCATGAAACCAGTGTTGCCTCTACCTCCTGGAGCTCTACTGCCTTTCAGCTCTGTTTGCTGGTTGTGCATGTTGTGACTTCCAGCAGTACAGAGAATGTTAAGAAGTGATGTAGTCACACAGTTGGAAAGATAGGACAACCTCAGTTTGCTACACATAACAAACACAAAGCTCTAGTATTTATAAGCTTGTAGGAGTTTTGCTAAGGAAGAAGACTTCTAGACTAAGAACTTTTACACTGAAATCATATTTTTATTAGTCATATGCATCAGTTAGGAGGGAAAAAAATCTACCTTCATTAAGTTGAACAATTAAGAGCATTAATAACAATAGAAAAGGCAGTGTTTCTGTGTAGACTCCAGATGCTTAAAGAACCTATTATGCATTTGACCTTTTTTTTCAGTACAGGAAAGGTAAATTGCACTTACCTTTCTTTACCAAAGCAAGCTTTTTCAGAACACAGTATTAAGAATTACATTTAACATCCTGCAATGCCTAGCACAGATTTGCATAGTCAACCAGCTTGGTATTTTAAGTAACCATCAATCTAAAAAATATGAAGTAAAGTGTCTCCTTATCTGTTTAACCATACTACAGTAAACCAATGGAATAACTTAATATTAGCAACATGTAACTAACTTGTCCTACAATCAATTCAGCTCTGTGAAACAAATCTAGTCTCTCTGGCAGAGTCCAGAGGACACAGAAAGAACAGCTCTGGTTTGTCCTTCTGCACTCATCCTGTGATCTCTCCTGGTAGGGAAGTTACCAGAATAAATCACAACTTGTTTGTGATGCTGCATTCTGACTTCCTTTAGAACAAAACCAGGACATGCAAAACACAGCACACATTTAATTCTTTCCTAACATAGCACTGAGACCCAGCCAGTCTGAAAGAATCCTACAGAATGCACCTGAGTGAATTTAGTCCACAGCATTAGATGGGACTTGTCTAGTTTCACATTCTTATCCTATTCCAGCCCATAACACTACACTGTTTACATGTAAAGGAAAAATAGTGTATTTAAGTCTGAGTACTTACTAGAAGTTTTACTGTGCTTACCAAGCTTCATTTTCAATAAGGAAACACATATTGTGGTTCTAAATTCTTCTCAAGAACTGTAAAAATAATTATTGTGCAAAAAAACAAAAGAATGCTAGCCTTCTTCAGCCCTCAACAGCACAGACCATTGACTCTTACTAAGAGTTGGTCTCAGTGATCCATGGGGATCCTTTGCAGCTCAAAATATTCCGTGGTTCATAAGTGATTCATTTTCAGGTAGTGTATTAGTAAATAGATTCAGCATCACCAGAACAAAACTAATTTTATGGCCTTAATGCTTCAAGGAAAAGAAACACAATAAGGAGGATAATAATTCTCTTTTATTATTTTCTTTTCCTCTTATATTGATCCATCTTTCCTTTAAACATAACGTGACTGTTATATGTTTAAAGTGTGTCATTATAAAATAAATGTATAATATAATGTGCTGATAGCTGTTGGAATAAAAGAGCCAATACAAACCATTACAAGTCTGATATCATTTCTCACTGATTGAAAACTATGCACAAGCAAATGTTGAAAGCTTAGGTTAAACTGGACTGATCTAATATGCAGTAACATGTCTATGTCTACTCATACGTAACATCATCCACAGAAATACTTCAAAGGGAACCTGTCTCCTTAGTGATACGGAAATGACCTACTTTATTCTTCTCCCAAAACATATGTTGATTTCCATATCATATTGGCATTTTCATGTTGGGCACACATCTCACGTTTTCATGATGTAGTGAAATCTTCCCTCAAAATCTGCTCTGCAGTGATTTAGCACAACAGAGCCAATCTTTCAGTAGATGCACTTGTCAGTCCATGGAGAAGTTCAGGGCAGCCACACATGAGGATATGAAGCTATGCTACACATGCAACATGAAACACCCGTTACTCATATTGCTCTTGCAGCTGGCTGTATCAGACACCACCAGCTGAATCATGTGGAGGGAGGAGCAAAAAGAGGGTGAGGCCTTCAAGAAGCTATCTGGCAGCTATCAAAATTGCTAGCATTAAAGCATGAAAAAAACCCTATGGTGAAGAGTATTTGGGGATGATCTCTAATTGCAAATGGTCATCATCAGCCTGTCATAACAAGGTTGACTGTTATGTTCTTTCACAAAGTCTGTTGAGACAAGAAGACATTTCTTGGACTTCTTTTCCTACTAACTAAAGAGTAATAACCTTTCTTTACATCCTCAGGCAATTAAGCACTTTTGTAGTAACTCAAAAGTTCTGCCACTGATACATGAGCAGCAATATCTGCAGCCCAGTCACTTACCGAGCTTTACATTTAAAATACACCAGTTTGTTTGCTGTCTCAGCCATCCGTGAAAATTATTTAGAGGGTAGAGATAAAGCAACAGTTTCCTTATCAACTGATACTCAGGCAGCAGTTATTTGGCAGCTGTTCCTTTAAGAGAAGGCTGGACTGTTTCAATCCAAAGGCTGTTTCAAGAGGAAGGGACAAAGATCTGAGGAAAGTTCAGCACTACTCAGCCAAGGAGGAGAGAACAGGAAGCAACAGGGAATTCACTGGAAGCAGCATCAGGAAACAAGAAAAAGAGACAGGAACAGAGTAAAGAGAGTAGCTGACACATGGCATAGGATGAATTAAAATCAAATGATATGTCCACCTGAAGAAAGGTCAAGTACCAACAAAGAGTGAAAGCTACAACGACTGTTCAGCCTGTCTTTTGATTCTTTAACAGGCCTTGTATAATTTCCAGTGGCTAAAATAGAGATGTCTCTGAGAGAAAAGTCTCATTCCTGAAGAATCATGAGCCATGATAAATAAAAATCTAGTAACTGTCGTGTTCAATATATTTAAATAAAATTACAGGAACATTAAGTCAAATGTGAAAGGAGATAAGAGAAAGACAGAAGATAAAATACCTTTCAGAAGTGATCTAAACCATACTGAGTAATAGGACTTAATAAAGAAATAAAATATGCTTTACCAAAGTAAAACTGAGAGGAGGAAAGCAGAGAAACACCCCCGTAAGAACTGGTAGTTTTTGTAGACACCTGCATCTCAACATGTCAAATGAGCACATGTCATTAGCCATCAGTATTTTACTACAGAAGTCTACTAAACATTCATCTGTGCTGGTGGACAACTTTTTACTGCACTTTTCAGAAAGTCACTTTTGCCCCATTTAGCCCTGGAGCAAAAGCATCAGCCAAACAACCAGAGGTGGGAAGATAATGAGTCAGGAGCGCCCAAACATTCAAAAATCACACACCTAATGAAGAAGATTGGACACTGCCTCATCCAAATTGTTGTTTTATGAAAGAGCTAGGGTTCTGATGCATGGGTTTAATAATACCATGTGTTTACCAAGCTACAGTAAACTATCTGTGCATTCTTAGATCATTACAAATGCAAGATAAAATGCACTTGCTTCAACTCTTTCATTAAAGTATGAGCCAATACATTCTATCTTGTATTTGCCATAGGTTAAAAACGTGTTCAACATCAGTCACTGTGGTTCAGCTGACACAAAGCTGTTTGTTAAGACAAATTAATTCTGTTGCATATTTCAGCCCTCTGCCAATGAAGCCACTCAATTTAGAGAAATACTTCTGCCCAAATCAAATGTCTGGAGAAACAAAGAGCATTTTATGGAAAAAACATTATCTGGGGCTGCTTAAAAATCTTATTTTAAAAGAAACTCCAATCTGGTGAAATATATCTAACTGTATTTCAGTTAAAGAATATCTACAACTTTTTGCTTGACATGGACAACTGGAGCCAAAACTTCAACAGTTTGTTATCAATCAGCAGAAGTTCAGAACTTTTCCAAATTAAGACAATACAATATCCTTGACCTTAGTAGAAACAAGGAAGCTGAAGTACTAAGAAACGAGGCATGGCAAGGAGGAGACATTTTTAACTAGATGACAGGTAACCTCTTTTGTTTATTAATTATTAAATCTATATATGTATATGAATCTCAATGTAACTACATGCAAAACTAGCACTCTATGGAATGGTTTGTTTGGTTTCAACTCAGCTGCTGAATGGTCTATCTAATCATCAAGAGAAGAAGAAAGAGGACCTGGGATCAGTCAGCCTCACATCTTGATCTTTGGGAAGACACTGGAGCAAATAACCTTGAAAATAACCTTGAAAAAATTAACTTTCAAATAATCTTGAGGGGTAAAAAAAAAAAGTAGTGTTCAGAAGTAGTCAGCCTACACTTAGGAAGGGGAAATAATGCTGAAATAACTAACCTCACCATGCCCTATGATGAGAAGACTAGCTTGGTAGATAGGCTTAGGCAAGACATACTCTTTATCACTACATTAGTCAGGCGTTTGACTCTGTCCCCCATAATAGAAGAAAAAGCCTCTTTTTTATATCATATGGGTTATCAAACTCTGGAACATGCTGCCCAGAGAGACAGTGGAGTCTCTAACCTCGGAGGTATTCAAACCCACTGGACACAGCTCTGAACAACTTCCTCTCACTGACTCTACTTTAAGCAAGGAGGGGCAGACCAGACATTCTCCAGACATCCATACCAGCCTCAACTTTCTATGAAATCTTAGACTTCTTGCTAATGTTTAATATTAGAAAACTTTTTTGTCTATGCTGTTTTTAAATATGGAAATGTTTTAAACCATACATTTTCTTGCTTTCTCCAAAACTATAGGAGAAATAAAACAAAAATTTTAAGAACATCCCTAAGCACCTTCTAAAAGAACTTCAACACTTAGTTCTGACCCAGTATTAGAAAGACATAATTGGAATACAAAAACCAAAGAACATTAAAAGGTGAGCTTCTGGACAGCAGCAGGACAAATATACTGTTAGCCATCACATTCTAGTGAAACTTCTTTGTTTTGCAGAAGTAGAGAACAGAGAGAAGTAAGACATTCCAGGCAGACTTTTCTATAGTGGCTGAACACATTCTGGCGCATCTGTTCACATCCAGAAACCTAGCATCAGGAAGCTATCCTATCACCCACAAAAGCAAAAATGGATGTCAGAATAATTCTGAACTTCCTCAAAATGACCATATAGGCCAGAAACCCATGTAGTATGGGTAAGTGACACACGTGGCATTCAGGCATATTTTTGCCTAGTGGATGGAAAACATGAAATTGAAAACGCCTTCCTCTTTCTCCATCCTGTCAGCACTACTCCTATTTCCTCCTAAACTGAGTTTCAACTAGGTGCATCTCAGATAGTTAATCTTCTGAGGCATAAACCTACTATAATTCCAGACTTTCATTAAATTCTGTGAAGCACTGGTACTCAATTCTAAGGCTCAAGATATGCCAAAAGCAGTCTTAAAACACTCAACAACCTATACTTGTACAGGATACACAGAAATGCTTTGTCTACAGCAGACAAATTATACTCATCTTCCCCACATATGCTAATTATTAACCTGTCCAAATGTTTTCCACATCTTGTTGGTAAGCAACAACACAAATAAATCATATAAATAATTCCTCCCAACCTTGTTTTTTTTAAAGGCTAGCGAATCAGTGCAGCCCACTGCACACAAGGTGCATCTCCACACCTCGGCTGGGGCAGTCACCTCTGACAGCGCTCCCATTCTCTGGTGGCTATCAGAGCCAGCACTTTTCTCAGCCAGCCTGCCACTCCTCCCAATTCACCCGCCCTCCAGCCTCCCATCAGTCTTGCACCCTATCCTCACCTATCCAGTCCCACGCAGCACAACCATAAGAATGGCCCTTGGGAGCATGAGAGCTCCAAGACAGCCTTTAGCTGTGCATTACAATGAAGTAAGAGAACATAAACAACTGGTTATCATCTCAGCTTTGTAGCTTCTTAAGCAATCATCTGATCATGCTACAACCATACAGCTGACCATCAAGGCTCTTGCTTGACCTAAATATGTCTGCTTTTTTGTTTCCTCCCTTATGTATAGCTTTACCATCTTCTGCTTTGCTTCTCATTTTCACCTAATGCTAAAATCTTTGCAGATGTTTAGAATGAAACTAGAGTATTTATAACTAAATGAAAAGAATCCTAAATATGAAAGTTTAAAGTGGAATTATTAGTCAAAGATAAATAGTGAAAAAGCAAGACTCAAACTAAAACTTCTCAGATTTTGAACTCCCAAGACAGACAAAGATACCCTTAGAGGCCAAAACATGAGTTGTCATTCTAGGTCAGGCACACACCATCCAGCAAGGCTCTCACAAAGCCAGCAGGTAGCAATATTCAAGGCAAAGTTCCCATGGCAAGTGTTTGAACCAACCATGGATGTAGCAGTATGGCAACCAAGGAAAAGATGCTCAGGTAAGTCAGCCACAAACTCGAGGCCATCTACATTAATATCAAACACCATCAGGCAACTGGTGTTGGTTGATCATTAGGCAGAGTAAATCACCATGTCAAGGCTGAAAGACTGCGATCTTCATCAGTGCACAAAGACAAGATCAGCAGTAATGCCTGCTAGTGCCTCTCATCCAAAAAGAAATACAGTTCCAACCAGAATCATTGGTCAAGCTGAAAACCTTACTAACTAAAGACAACCTGCCAGGTCATTGACAGGATGGAAAGGAGAAGAGGGTTGAGTTTAGTTCTGTCAATTGCCTTCATTTGCTTTCTATGACAAGCAGCTGCCATTTTCATTAGTCTTTTTACTTCCTCACTAATCCTTTCAGTGGTGTTACAGCAATGTCCATTCAAACAGTAGGCCTGGACTCCAATACCAATACAGAATCATAGGATAATTTCAGCTGGAAAGGACCTCTGAAGGTCACCCAGTCCAAGCCCTGGGCTCAAAGCAGGGCCAGCTAGATCATTACAAACACAATCACATTTGCTCCAGCTCTTCCCCAAATCCCAGACACGCAATATTCCCTGTGTTCCTATGGGAGTTTTGCTGTTGCTTTTAAATCATACTGCTGGTCTCTTGGGGAGCAGCTGCAGCATACTATTTCAGCCAGGGAAGCAGTATGCTAGCCCAGCATGCTGGCTCCAGCTCTGCCAGTTTCTACCAAGCAAATGTCAGTAAAACAGTAACAAATCAACCCTGAAACAGCAGCATGGCTATCCATTGATGTGCAGGCTCTTCAACCACTTCTAAGAGGGAAATACCTAGTTTGACTTCTACTATCCATTTGCGCAGACTGAGAGTTCTACCAGATGTTCAGCAGTCAGAACTGCAGTCCAAGTACAGAATATAAGAGGAAAGAGCTGCCCTCCCACTGCTACATTAGGCACCATCACCCATGCACAGGTCTCAAACAGATTGAGCTACACCCCTGGGAAAGGGATGAGCATCACAAACTACAGGAAGAGAATGATGTCTGTCTGTGCATATAGATTTCATTTTCCAGATTACTTATGAGGTACCTACAATATAAGACTTTTTACCTTCCTCCTTCTTCCACCCTCCAATATGATAAAAATGGAGGACCAGAAAATAAAAGAGACTCTTTATTGCACTAACTCTCTTTCATTCTTCTGTTTTTCACAAGAAATATATTTCAGGGCCTTTAGTCCCTCCCCTCTCTTTATGAAGGTCATATTAATTAACTGCAGTGTCTAGTTCAGCTACTGTTAGGTATCTCCTTCAATTTATATTTAGTTTCCACCCAAAATATTCTGAATCATTCAAGAGTTAGGTTGTAGGAGTGTAAAAATTACCAGAATGCTATAACCTAACTCACAGAAGATATGTAGGAAGGGCCTATCTGCACGTATGGAAAGTAGTGAGTGAGCTTATATTCAATTAAGTTTTAAACTAAGATTTTGACTTCTCTTGAATTGCATTTGCTTTCCCCTGAAAAGCCTCTTAAACATTAACACAACAACATATTAACAGGAGTAAGGAAGTATCAGAACAAATCTCTTTTGCCCATTTTGAACTGCCAGGAACCATTTGTCCTGCACCAGCATTCCAGTATCCTGTCAGACCTACTGCTCATCCTAATCAATCAATCCATCCCCAAGACACACAATTCCAGCTGTACAGCGAGAACAACCTTAGAGGTCAATATAGGAAAGCAAGCAATCATTTAAACATCAGCTGTTTTTCAGTATGTTTATGCTCTTCAGCACTGTATGCATCCAGTACTATGAAACAAATCTTAAAGCTATCAGGCACTTTAAAACATTAGAAAGATTTTTTAAAACACACTGCCTGAGCAAATAAATAGGTTTGGCAGAAAGGATGCTTGAAAGGGGTTGGAATCCTAATATATTTTCGAGCTCTGTCATTAGTCTACAACCTGTATGACCTCAGACAGCTATTTTGCTTCAACCTCCCTTTATGTAAAGTAAGCTGTAAGGTACAGATGAAAAGTATTTTAAAGTTTAACAAGTATTTAGAAGCTTCCATCAGTAACACTTTGACATTTGTTAAAAGCTCGACAAAGCCACTTCATTTACCAGTACAATGCTTTGCAGTTTTTCTTCCTATTTGCAAAATCCTAACACCATACAAGGCTGTTGCACAGCAAGTTTAAAAAACAAGACATGATTTAAAAGAAGAAAAAGAAAAAGGCACATTTTTTTCCAATTTTAAAGATGGTTTTGTAAAAAAAAAAATTAGAGGTAATATGTGCAATTTTCCAAGGGCCAAGGCCAGAAAATCACATCACGTCATTTTAGAAGGTATTTTTGAACTCTCTTTTAATATACCAATATTTTTAGGTATCAGTTATTTAGAAATGCATTATAGCTTTGAATTTTATGACCATATGTCAACACGAGATTTAGCTAGACCAATTAAGGAACCTGAGTTTTCATTAGGCTTTTGTTACAGGGATTGTTAAACTAGCTTCAGCAAGAATACGTTTCTAGTCTGCAAGATCCATCTCATCACACCAGGTCCCGAGGTCATCAAGGCTCCTTTCAGAGGCAACGGCGCATGAGAGATAAGGACAGAAAATGCTACAAGGACCCGCACGATAACTCTCCTTAGAACAACAGCGCGATACAGGAAGCAGCTTTCCACCACCGCGTTCGCTTCTAAACAGCCATTTTACTTCACTACATCCTTCCCTACAGCCAGCCTTCATTTTGTGTTCCTGCCTGGCTGCGCGGTTCCAGGCTGACAGCCTAGCGAGGATACCGGGGGCGCGCTCAGGTGGAGGTGAGATGCCTCCCAGCCTCTCCGGGTTCCGAGCGAGCCGTTCCGGTGCCAGGGTCGGGGGAGGGAGGCTTCCCGCCTCCCCCCGTTTTTGAAAGTAAATGAAGGCGCCGCTCCCAATGGCGGGGGAGGGGGGAGCTTGGCTCCCTCCTCCTCCCGGGAGCCCGGCTCCTCCTGGAGAGGCAGGGGAGCCCGGGGACCCCTCTCCTGGCAGGTCGGCCCTGCTATCGTCCCTCCCCCCGGGCGGGCAGTGCCGTGTGTCCCGTCCCTCCCCCCGGGCGGGCGGGCTGGCTGTGCTGTCTCTCCCCCCGGCAGGCCGTGCGAGAGCGGCGGGGCGGGCACTCACCGCTCCGGCAGAGTGAGAGGCAGCGGCGGCGGCGGCGGCCTCATCCTCCTCCGGCGACGGCGGGCCGATCTTGCTGCAGGTGGCCGCCAGCAGAGCGAGCGGTGACGGCTGCGCGTCCTACCCACAATGGGCGGGTTCAGGGAGAGAAGGGGGGTGGCGGTTAGTGCGGGACAGCGACCGGGCTCCTCGCAGACGCGCACACAGGAAGCGGCGGCGGCGGCACCGGCTCCGCACCCGCTCACAACGTGTCACCCGGGGGAGGGGGGAAGGGGCCCAGCCGGGCCTGCGCTCACCTGGGGGGCGGCCGCCCCGGCGGAGGCCGAGGCGGCGCCGTTGCCGTGCTGGAGATATTCGCTGTGGCTGCTGCTGTCCACGTCTAAGGCAGCCATTTCCTCTTGTTTCACGGGCTTCTCGGGAGCTGCGGGCACAGCGGGGAGGGGGAGGGGAGAGTCACTGACGGGAGCGATCACCCCCCTCCCTCTCTCTCCCTCCCTCCCTTCCTCCCTCCCTCCCAGCCATTCCTTTGCTGCCCCTGCCCCTCTTCTCCCTCCTCCCCCTGCTCCTCCTGCTGCTGCTCTCAGTGCCGCTCTCGCCTCGCTCGCACACGGACGCTCCGGGGCCGGAGCGGGGACGCGCAGGGCCGGAGCAGGAGCGGGGAGCCCCCGGGGCGGCTCGGTCGGTGCGTACGTACCGGTCATGGTGTGAGTGCGAGCGGCCGGCTGGCTGGCTGGCTGGGCGGGAGGCAGGCAGGCAGGCTGGCTGGCTCGCACACAGGCCCTGCTGGCTGGGGCTAGGCGGCTGCCGCCGGGGACATGCTTATTGTGCTCACGGCGGGCTGAAGCGGCGGCGGCGGCCCGAGCCTACTCCGGGTTTTTTTTCCTATTTTGATTGACGGTGCGGGAAAGCCGAAAGGTGGGGCTTGCCGCGGGAGAGGGGGCCCGGCCGACACCGCCGCCCGCCCGCCCGCCTGCCAGCCCGGAACTCCCGCCTACGCCCGCGCGCGCGCGCTCTCATTGGCTGCGCCGCGCCGCCGCCGCCGCTCGCACGGGCCGCCCGGGCTGCCAGTCAGCCGCCGGGGGCGGGGGGGGCGCCCCATGCCGGGGCGGCTTCCTGTTTGCCAGGGCTAGTGCGGGGAACAATGAGCGGGACCCGCCGGGAGGCCGCGGCCCGCGCCGGCCGGGGACCCGCCGTCCTGGGAGGCGGCACGCCGCCGCGCTCCCCTGGCACCGCGGGGCCCGACCGCCCGCAGGGGTCAGCGCATAGGCACGGCTGCGCGGCGGTGGCGCTATGCCTCCAGCCCCCCTCCCCCGCGCCCCCGCCGCTGTTGTGCCCGGGGGGCGCCGGGCCAGGGCTGCGATCTTTCGAAGTCTCCCCGCCGGGGCTGTCACTCACGGCCGGCGACAGCCGCGGCTCCGGGGTGGCGGCCGAGCAGCGCCCGGCCGACGGACAGCGCCGCCGCGCTTTGTCCCTCCGGCGCTAAGATGTCGGCGCGGCGGCCCCAGGGGAGCCGGTCCGCCCGGGCGGGCGCTGCCCGGAGCCTGCCGCTGGCCGCCCCCCTGCGGGACCGGGCGCCCGGGTCAGCGCCGGGGACAGCGGGGCGACCCCGCCGTGCCGCCGTTGCATAAGCGCTGTGTTGGGCTCGCACCTGCCTGAGCCGGGCGGCGGAACCGAAAACCTGCACTGCCTCCAAGGCAGAACAAAACCCGTCCCGGATAAGGCCGCGAGTTCGATTTGAACGCGCCACGTTCTCCCAGCGGGGGTTCCTGCCGTGAGCTGGGCACCCGAGCCTTGGCACGGATCGAACATTTGTACCAGCAGGCTTTATTTTTATCGTGTTAAGGAGAATTAATAAGATTCCCCTCCATGTCAGTTTGCTGGTCTGTGTCTCGTGTTATGCAACACAAAGGAAACTGGGAGCTCTCGGATTGTTAAACTAAGACAGGAAATATGTTTAAAACGTTACATAAGTATATGATGATACAGGAATGATTATTAGTGGGGCCTGTTTCTGTGTAACACCACTTAGCTTGTGAAGGGTTCCTGTAAAGGGGAACAGTTTGGGCTTGGCCCTCCCTCACATCTGAGTGCGTCCGCAGGGTCATAGGACAGTGTGCAGGTTGAGGCGCTGCTTTGACCTTTAGTTCGCAAATTCTCCCGAAAAATGATGTTTTCATGGTTACAGTTAGTGTGGTATTCCAGGGAGTCTGAATGAGGCCAAAAAACCTCAAACCTACTTTCCTGTTACAGTCATTAATGTAATTAGAACTGAGGATTAACTGGGAGATACAGTGAGCACAGTCTCGTATGTCCACAGTTGGGCTGAATGTGTGGAGTCCCAGGCTCCTGAGATAAACTCATGGCCAAGTTAGTAACTAGGAAACCCAGAAGTGTGGTCAGGATTTTCAACTGCCTCTCTGAGCAGAGAATAAACAGTGCTTTTTAATCAGTCCCAGCACTATGACCTTGCAGTAAGTGCTCAAGCTTAACAGAAACTATTACAGAACAGGAAAAAATGCACTCAGAAAATGTGAATTTAATAACAGGAAGTTATGATGGATAAAGATTGTTCATACTGTGTGATGTACAGTCTTATTTCTAACCCATTTACTTTTGCTGGTATGTTGAGAGTATCTTCAGGTGACTTACTATTAAGTTGTAAATTAATCCCTAATCTTTTTGTCACATTTAATTTTTGCCAAGGTAGTTTAAAAAAACAACCAAACCCTTCTGTTTGTTAAATGTCTGTATTTATTTACATAGTCTTGTAATTCTACTTTAGAGTTAGTTTTTGACAAGGTAGATAACACAGCCATAAAGAAGAAGGTTTTTTTGCAATTTGTATTTTCTGTTTTAATAAACAAAAGTTGTAACTAGGAGCAGAAGTCTCAGGTTTTTTTAAAAATGTCAGAAATCATTTTTAGCCAGTGAAAGCTAATATACACAACCTGTAAAAATCCATCAGTATGCATACATAAGGACATTTCAGGAAGAAAATGAAAATGCAAAATTGCCTGACGATTGCAGTATTAAAAAAAAGACTTCTACAGCTAGAAGAACTAAGTGTTTGTTTGGCAATGTCAGAAGTTGCTAGTGAAACAGGAGAGTCTGTTATCCTGGAACCAGAACTATTACTGGTGACTTCAGACTTTCAGTAACTGAGATGTTCATTTAAAGACTGAGATATAAGAGAAATAATTTCTGTTAAGATGCTGTGACGGGGAAAATTATATTGAAAAACTAGCCTTTGCTATTTAGCAGGGTATTGCCAAATACTATCAGTGGCATTTTGCTTTAGGAAGAATGTCTGGGGCTTAATCTAAATATGAAAGGTGTTCTTTCTCCTGCAGCTGGATGGGTACATGTTGAGAGCTGTCTGACTTAAGGGGGATGTTGTCAATAGAGTAGTTTACCTACATGGATCTGATTGCAGGCTTGGGACGTAACTGCAGTGCTTTAAGACAGAAAGATTTGAAATACCAATAGTGGGATTGGATTTATATATGAAGTAGTTTTCCAGTGCAATGAAACTTAGATGTAATCAGGCTTAACACTAGCAGAGGACCATTTTTTTCCAGTCAAATATCTAAAACTGTGGGGACACTGTTATGATATATTAAATTCAGATAAAGAACTAAACCAGAATATGAATAGACCGTTTAAAAAGTAGACAAAAAATCAAGATAAATTACAAGAAAGTTGCAAAAAAATATATGCTCATATGAAAAAGAGATGTAAAGATACTCAGAATTGTTAAATACAAACTGCTTGGTCATAGAAATCACATGTTTGTTTAGTGCTTCCCAGCAGCCATTAAGAACACATGAGAAGAAAAAAAAATGTAAAAAGAAAATGAGAAAAAACATTATTTGTAGGGTTTTTTTGCTTACCAACATACTAGCATTAAGACATTAATCATTAGAAAAATCCTGGATGCATGAGGGAGATGCTGTGTCAGAACTGGACGTCTGAGTTCCCCTTGGTGCTGGTTTTTCCTGCAGCCTTAGCACTGGGGCAGTAGCCCCAGAGACTGAGCTCCATGCCCAACTAGAGGAGCCGTTGTTTCCTCTTTCTTGAGCTTGCCCAGCAGATGTACCATATCCATATGAATAAACTAACCATGACCAGTTTATTCTTAAAGAGCCTTGCCTCTCTAAGACCTTGCCACCTGCTTCTAGGCAGTTCCAGGTTAACTGCAGGTCCTGGGATGAATTCTTGATCCGTTTGCTGAAAATGTTGTGTTGTAATTTGAGCTGTGTAGATACTGAGAAGGTAATACTGCTCTATAAATAAGAATACTTCTACTAGATACTAAAATGCAGCAGTTTCAGAACTGAGATGCAGCCTTTGGGGTAAGTAGCAAAATAATATGGAAGAGGAAACAATGTCTACCAGCTTCTGATGAAACTTGAGAGAAGCTTTTGACAGATGAAACAAGATGCAACTTGGAAAGAATACTAAAACTTGATACCTACCCTGTATTTCAGTTGTAAGCTCAATGCTGTATTTGTCCACTGTTACTTATATCTCATATCTCATTGGTTTAAGTCTTGGAGCTCAGTCTCAGTGTCAGTTCAGTGCAAATTCAGAAGGAAGTGCACTGTCTTAACACAACTTCCATCCAGCACAGTGTCTGCTATACTTGGAAACAGCTTTTCTATTTCTATAGTTGTTCAAAATTTCTGAGTTATGACATGTTATTTTTGTCTTTAGTGGTCCCTGCTATGGGTAGCCCTGCATTTCTTTAAAGGATTATATTATTGAAGGTTTGTGGGTATGTAGTCCAGTTCAGTTTTCACAGCTGTGATACTCCATTCTCCTGTTAAGTGGTGGTTTTGCCATGCTGAAGCCTAGAATGCAACTGGACAAGATGGACAGGAATGCATTCTGCTGTGACAGAATGTAACACCAGGAAAACTCAGGCTCAGGTCAACCTTAGTTTGAAAGGCTGGGTCTGAAATGCCTGTGAAGAATCAGTAGGGATTCCATTCAACAATCTACCTTAAAATGTGTCCTTTACTTGAGGGACAAGCAGGATTATCTGTAAATCTCATACCTCAGAAAATAACTAGAACATAAAAAAAACTTAACTATTCAGGAGAGGTATCTTTTTGAATTTGAGATACATTCTTCTGTTTTAGTAATCTGTTCAAAATTTCAGTAGAATCTGGAAAATGGGTCCATTTGCTTAGGAATATTGAGTCATCTTTACATAGGGCCACAGGCAGGACTGACAGGAAGTTGACCTGTGAGGTTTTGTGAGTCAGCACGTAGTAGTTGAGATAGTTGCATGACTCGAGTTCATCAAATAGAGAAATGAGCCCTTGCCAGTATAAAATCAGCAGTGGTTAGAGAAGAGTCTTGGCTGGCATTGTGTCATCATCCCCAGAAAGCACCTCCCTGTTCTTCTGGCTACAAAAACAAAAATTTTGCTGGGGGGAAGTAGGCTTTAGCAGTGGGTGTGGTCTACCCAGAAGCTGAACCAACCTAACAGCTCATGGACATTGCCATAAGAAAATCCTGCAAAAATGTGCTTCTGATATTGCAAGCAAAATTGAGTCAAACTAGACACGAGGAGCAACAGAGCTCCATGGATGGGAGTGGACAAAGAGAAGTGAGACTCCCTTCAGCAGCTGTGAGTAGATTAATCCAGGGTGTCAGACTTGCTGAGCAACACGGGAACTTGCTTTTGGCTATGTTTTGTGTAAAGTGTCTTGTCAGTAGCCCAGGATTTCAAGCCTTTAGCGGAGCACAAATGTTACGTGAGAGCATGTGAAATATGAAGGCATTGGTTTAGTCTGCTGCATAAGTGTGATGGTATTCAAGTGTAAACATATGAAAGACAAGTAATACTTTGTGAAATTGGATTTTAGGAGAGCATTTTTTCTGTTTTAAATGGGGAAGCAATTCTAAGAGTACTGGTCTCTGCTTGAAACAACTCCATTAAAGAAAGGTCAAAGGGAAATGTGTGCTACCTGGATCCAGCTGTTAGCAGGGGAGACATTGGCTTCCACTGGTCTGCTCACATCCAGTAGAAGCTATGGATGGGGTAGAGGCAGGCCTAGCAAACTCATGGGCAGCCACAGCAGGAATGTGCCCGCTCCAGGCTCTTCGTGCACTTCCCTGGAGGTCTGAAACATGCTGCCTGGTAAGAGGAAGAACCTGTGAATAAGTAGCCTAACAACCCAGTGCACAAATCTGAAGGCTGTGACTCTTCACCAACACAGATGACTGATCTTCAAGGAATGGGGCCAACAGAAAGTCTGTCCAAGCTCTGTATGCACCAATATGTGAGGACAGACCTCTGGAACATTGTTTTCAACCTAGTCATTGTATTTATGAATTTTTTCTGAGCAATTGGGACAAAATAAGTCATGTTCCTTTTTAATCAGAAATTCTTCCTTGTTTGTTACAGCTGTAACTTTCCCCAGGTGATACGTTTTTGTATGTTTTGCAAATTTTCAAGTTCACTAGAGACATCTAGTATTTTTGACCGGTAAACAGGTTCTGTTCTTAATAATGTTAGAGAAAACTTTCCTGTGTTAAAGTGTGTCATTACAATAGACACAAAGTTCGGTATAATCGCCCAAGGTTTTTGGGGTTTTTTTCCCCTTGATTTCATTATCTTGGTTTTAGTTGTGTAAATAAATAAATAAAGAGTATATTAGTTAAATCTTGCAAAATATGTGTGGTTTTTATTCAACTGGCAGCACAGTCCATCTAAGTAAGAATATTTTTTATTAACAAAATTTCTTTCTACTGAAGATGAGACAAAGTCATTTAATCTCCCTCATGTTTGGGAAGAGGCAACAGGAAAAAGCAGATCAGTTATCAGTTTCAGATACCTGAAAACTTGCCATTTAGCAAGTTAATCATTCTTCATTTCACCTCTCTTAAATGAGAAATAGATGTCTTTTCAAACTTCCTAGAAGTTACTGTCTTTGGGCCCCATCATTATCCTGTTTGTTTATCCTTAATTCCTGCCCTTCAAGGCCATCACAACAGATAAAACCTAATCATAGAAATAATTGGGGGAAAAATTGTAGATCCATTAGGTAAGGTTAGAAAAATTGTTCATAGGAAGAGGCCACATAACTGTGACTTGTAGAATCAGTAATATAGCATCTAAGGATTTTCCTCCATTACCCATCACAAAATTGGAACGGAAGTAATTAAATAGATACATAGATAAAATATGAAGTCACGTGAATGGGAAAAACTTGTCTATTTCTTGTCTGGTGTAATTCTTTCTCACAATTTGTTATTTTTAATAGTACTGATAGGAAAGCAGGCCAGTGAAATGAAAGAGACTAGCAAATTATGTGTGCACAAATTCTGAAAGGAAGTCTTTCTGGAGGGATTAAGTGCCTTCTAAGAATCTCAGTCTGAATTGCCATTCCCAAAACAAAAGCAACTAAGACTCTGTGGCTCCCTCTAGGAGAAGGAAGTCTGGGGCTGTAGTCCAAACCACATCCCGTGCTTTCTCTGGCAAGACTCAGTCCAGCAGCCAGAAGGCCACAGTGTGGTCTGAACAGTGAGAGATGAAATGAGTGTCCCTGTAAGGTCATTTGGAAACCTGTATGTAAGTTCTGAATTCTTACATATCTTTGGGTGAGGAAGGTTTTTTGTTTCTTAAGGAAAAAAAATCCCTGAGGATCTTTGAAAAGGGTAGCAACCTATAGAAGAGGGCTAGACAGGAAACAGTGACATGAGAGCCTTCCCTGAGAGGTAGGTATCTGATGCAAAGAACAACCAGACCTCAGAGAGGTTCTCAGCATTTTGTTTTAATTAGTGCTAGGGGATTACACACAGCCCTGTGTCATCTCAATTTGGGGGCTTAAATGCCCCCATTGTTCCTGGTCCAGTCTCCCTATGGGGAACCCCAGTTTTTTGAGAGTTCTGGCATGTTCACAGTGGCATATAAAACTCCTATGGTCTTTCCTAGAAGCATCATTTTATTAGAGTAGACAAAAGCATTAGGATGAACAGAACAAATTAGGTTTGTGCCTAACTTTGAAAAAGGAGATGGAAAGTTCTAGGGTTTATTTCACATTTTCCTGTGTCTACATGTCTGCGATGTCCGAATCTATAATTTGGACAAGACTTGGTAACAGATGCACTCCCCTTATCTCTTACCTTCCTGCTTTGCCACAGATACTGGAACTGCATCACAAACACCAAGGAAGGGAAAGCTGAGTGAGATGAAATTCCACTTCTGGTCATAGAAGAAAACTGTTTGGAGGGAGGGGGGAAGGTTACTAATTAAAATTTATCTAAGAAATGCCTCAGTAAAAGAATCATCGATCTGTTTCAGCTTAAGTCTGAAAGAGGTATATTCAAGGCTGGAATGATAATTAACACACTCATGATGTTCACATAAAACACCAGTGGATGCTTTTTAACTGCTAATTAACCTCTGGCTTCTATAAACATCCTTAAAAAAGGCACATCTTCATCACCGTTATTGCAGCTCAAAAGCAATCATATACTTCTCAAACTGCTGCAGATCATTCCTGGCCCTTTTGACCTGTTTCTGTTTCCAAACTACTGCACAACCTTCCCAGTCGAATGACACTTGCAAACATCTGCACATGCTGCAGGTGTCCTTCTTATTCCTAAAAATTAATTAACAAAAGTTAATTATTTTTAATGTATTGTTTCTCTCTCTTGTGTCAATTAGTATCTGAGTTATTGAAGTGGATCATTGCTATTAGTTTGTTTTCACAAAGTTGGAAAATTCAAACTCCGCTATCATCTTAATTACTTACAAATGAAGGATAAAATTCCTTCTTTTCTGTGGCAGAGGTCCAAAAGACAGAATGGAGACAGGATGTTGTGGCAAGCCTCTGTTCCCCATGCATTCCTCCAGTCTCAGCAGAACTACTCTGGCACTGGAGGCAAAGTGTGCATGCCGTGCACAAGCACAACCCTGCACTTCCAGAACACAGAGCCCACCACATCTTTTACTTTTTAATAGTAGTGCCAGATTTTCAGCAACACATATTATGTTTAAGCAAAATGGTAATTGAATAATCTGTGTACTGCACAGAAAAAAAATTAGTTCATTCTCCTTTTCCTCTCTCAAAGAAGTAACATTGCAATACTTTTTTTCCTAGCCTGGATTCCTGCAGAAATTAAAATGGGGTTGAGATCATTATCTCTTCCTATGTAAAATAAATCGCTGTGTGCGCGCGCATGTGTGCACACAGATGTGCATGTACATACTTGCATGTTGTGCAAGAGAGAAGGAACAAGAACAAACAGTAGCCAATTTTAACCACATCTGACAGAGCAAAAAAAGTCTGAAAAATTCCTGTATGTTTCATAACAACAAGCTGCTGAGTAAAAGGAGACCCACCGACATTTGAATTAAGCCCTTATTGAACAACAAGAAAGCTGCGAAGATGAAAGATGTTACCAATCCCTACCCCACAGGAAAAGCTGCAGTCAGAGCTTCCAGCTATGTAGACCTAGGAGAATCGAAATAAGATTTGCCCAAGGGGAACCAAGCCCTATCAGATCTGCAGCTCAGAGGACTACTGGTCTGTGCTGGATTTCTAATCCATCACTGTCCAGCTTTGATGGTGACATACTCCATTTTTTGCCCTTTGACTTTGGGGGAAAAAAGATTTTTTTTAAATGCAGATTTCTCAAACCTGATGAGCTGAAACCCTACCTGAAAGGAAGGACCAGATTTTGTTCTTAAAGACCCCGTAGGATAGCTTTACAAGAATCTACATGTGCAGCATGCTAGACAAAGAGAAAACAGCATCTTCCAGTTCATGGCAAACTAGAGATAAAGTTCATGCCCTGACAGCCTGGAGTTTGATCTTAAGGTAGCAGGAGCCAGTGCTGTTAAAAAGCCTCTCATCCCACTTTCTGATCTGTCACATCACTGATGTCCCTCGGTCTAACCATTCTTAAGAGTTTGGTGAGGGGCACACCTCTTGGGCCTCTAAATGTTCCTGTTTTTTCTGCTATACAGGTGTGGTATCCTTCAGAAGACAGCTGAAGGAAGCTAAGTCAGAGTTCTTGGCACTGCTCACCCTTCTCAGTGCAATGGAGAGCCCCCAGCTCTGCTGGTCTGCCAGAGACACTCCTGCCAGTGTCACACGTTTCTGGCACCTCACTGGATGCTAAAGGAAACAAACAGTGAGAGGAGTCCAAACCCAGTGCTGCTCCATGTATCAATGGACACAATCTTCCAGAAACCACTTACCCACTATTATGCTTTTCTCAGTCATGTTTCTCCCTCTTCATAGCTTGGGAGTGTTGGACAAGCTTTCTTTACTTCACCCCAGGGTTGTGTGTTCATCACCTGCCAGTAACACTTCCAGGGACAAACTCTTGACACTCCAACATTCACAATCCCTTCTGGATGACTCCCTAACTTCTTATGTTCTAGTCACAGTAATTCAGCTTTCATCTGTCCCTCTCTTCTTGCACTGTATACATCAGACCCTCCTTTGCTAAGCACACTTACATCTCTAAAAATACAATCCAGGAACCTTTTATTCTTCATATTGTGTAACATGGAAACTTGTCTCTCAAGCTCAGCAATCTTGCTTGCAGGTGCTGAAGCAATCAATGCACCTTGGATGCCTGTGGCCATATCTAGCCGTGCTCTGGTTCACTGTCCTTCATATCCCACACAAAGGAAAGATAATAAAAGGATTCAACATCCAAATCCTATTCCCCTCTTCCCAAAAAGATTAACTCCTGTAAAACAGATGTGCCCATTCTTGTCACTGGGCAACAAAGGGATGTATGTAGCATTGTTATTCTTGCTGCTACATGTTTGTGATCTTATCCTGAGATTTTTTTAATGAACTTTTTTTTTTAATCTTTTGTTGCTAAGAGAACAACAATGATCTAGCAAGACATAAATAATCTCCAAGGCTTGGAGCAGTAAAGTCTTCTAAACTCTTAACTATTCTAAACTCTTAGAGTTTACTCTTAGTCTTCTAAACTAGCTACATTTTGCTATTTTTTTAAGTATAAATACCCATTCTATTCAGTTTGTTATTCCAGTCCCTGTTTTTACCTACCTAAAATAAACTAGGTGAGTAGCCTTCTTTTTGCACTTTGTCATTCATTACTGAAGGGTATAAGGAGGAGGTTAAAACAGCATGTTTGTTAAATAAGTAAATATTTAACAAGTTGACTCCAGTTCTAACAGTCTAAGGGAACAGTATTATAAAACCTTAGAAAGCTGGCAGTACTCACGGATTTTTTTTTTTATGTGACTCTCAAGTTAGTCGTTGGAGCCATTTTATTTCCTGGATGAATTATACAATTTCTGTAGTAGGACAATTGGGCATAAATATCTACAGTAAAACAAGTCAATTAAATCTGCAAGTTATTTCTAGTCCAGAGGGAGAGAGCTGCCTTTTTCTTATTTACTGCTCACTAAATAGTCAATGCCCTAGAGCAGTAGGACCCTGCAGACGCTCAAAGCTAAACAGACCCTTGATTTCTGTGGTTCTGGGACTCAGACCCTCACACAGACCCTGTGTTGTAATTCACATTTGGAAGTCAGCAAGCATTTCTTTATTCCCATGATTTTCAGGCAATGCGGGAGGCAGGCTGGGAAGCAGATTTCTAAAGGCCACAGGAAAACAAAACAAAACCAAAAATTCACAACAATTTTAAG